GTTAAGTTTCTGCAGGGTTTTGGGTATCTGGATGATTTTGGTCCCAAAAAATGATTTGGGAAGGAATTTCTCTTTTTGGATTGTTTGGAATAGTTTCAGAAGGAATGGTACCAGCTCCTCTTTGTATGTCTGGTAGAATTCAGGTGTGAACCCATCTGGACCTGGGCTTTTTTTTGGCTGATAGGCTCTTAATTGCTGCCTCAACTGCAGCCCTTCTTATTGGTCTATTCAGGGTTTCAACTTCTTTCTGGTTTAGGCTTGGGAGGGTGCAGATGTCCAGGAATTTATCCATTTCTTCCATGTTTACTGGTTTATATGCATAGAATTGTTTGTAGTAATCTCTGATGGTAGTTTGTAATTTCTGTGGAATCAGTGATGATACCCCCTTTGTCATTTTTTATTACATCTGTTTGATTCTTCTCTGTTTTCTTTTTTTATTAATCTGGCTAGTGATCTATTTTGTTGATCTTTTTTTAAAAAAACAACTTTTGGATATATTTATTTATTTATTTATTTTTTTATTTTTTATTTTTTTTTATTTTTTTTTTATTTTTTGAGACGGAGTTTCGCTCTTGTTACCCAGGCTGGAGTGCAATGGCGCGATCTCGGCTCACCGCAATTTCCACCTCCTGGGTTCAGGCAATTCTCCTTCCTCAGCCTCCCGAGCAGCTGGGATTACAGGCACGCACCACCGTGCCCAGCTAATTTTTTTGTAATTTTAGTAGAGACGGGGTTTCTCCATGTTGACCAAGATGGTCTCGATCTGTTGACCTTGTGATCCACCCGCCTCGGCCTCCCAAAGTGCTGGGATTACAGGCTTGAGCCACCGCGCCCGGCCCGGATATATTTATTTTTTTTAAGGTTTTTTTGTGTCTCTGTCTTCTTCAGTTCTACTTTGATCTGAGTTATTTCCTATCTTCTGCTAACTTTTGAGTTTCGTTGATCTTGCTCCTCTAACTCTTTCAATTTTGATGATAGAGTGTCAGTTTTAGATCTTTCCTCGCTTCTAATATGGGCATTTATTGTTATAAATTTCCCTTTACACACTGCTTTAATCTCTGGGACATTGCACCTTTGTTCTTGTCTGTTTTAAAGAACATCTTTATTTCTGCCTTCATTTCATTGTTTATCCAGTCGACATTCAGGAGTGAGTTGTTCAGTTTCTAGAAGTTGTGTGGTTCTGAGTTACCTTGTTAATCCTGAGTTCTAATTTGATTGCACTGTGATCTGAGAGACTGTTATGATTTCTGTTCTTTTGCATATGCTGAGGATTGATATTACTTTCAATTATGTTGTCAGTTTTAGAGTAGGTGTGATTTGGTGCTGAGAAGAATGTATATTCTGTGGATGTGGAGTGGAGAGTTCTGTAGATGTCTAGTACATTCCCTTGGTCCAGATCTGCATTGAAGTTCTGGATATCCTTGTTAATTTTTTGTCTTGTTGAGCTGTCTAATATTGACAGTGGAGTGTTACATTCTCTCACTATTATTGTGTAGGAGTTTATGTCTCTTTTTAGGTCATTAAGAACATGGGGAGAAATGTCAGATATAGGTGTTGGGGAGGAAGGCAGCAAACCACATTGCCATGTATGTACCTATGCAACAATATTGCATATTCTTCACGTGTACCCCAAAACCTAAAATGCAGTAAAATATATATTTAAAAAAAAGAATTTGCTTTATGTATCTGGGTGCTCCTATATTGGGTGCATATATGTTTAAGATCATTGACTCTTCTTGTTGCATTGATCCTTTTAACATTATATGATGCCCTTAATTGTCTCTTTTGATCTTTGTTGATTTAAAGTCCATTTTATCAGAGACTAGGATTGCAACTCCTCCTCTTTTTAATATCCATTTGCTTGGTAAATCTTCCTCGATTCCTTTATTTTGAGCCTATCTGTGTCCTTGCATATTAGATGGGTTTCCTGAATACAACACACTGATGAGTTTTGACTTTTTATCCAATTTGCCAGTCTGTGTCTTTTGATTGGGGCATTTAGCTCATTTACATTTAAGGTTAATACTGTTTTGTGTGAATTTGATCCTGCCATTTTGTTGCTAGCGGGTTGTTTTACCCATTAGTTGATGCCGTTTCTTCATTGTGTCAATGGACTTTACCATTTGGTACGTTTTTTGAGTGGCTGGTACTGGTTATTCCTTTTCATGATTAGAGCTTCTTTCATGAGCTCTCATAAGATAAGTCTGGTGGTGACAAAATCTCTCACCAATTGCTTGTTTGTAAAGGATTTTATTTTTCCTTCACTTATGAAGCTTAGTTTGGCTGAATATGAAATTCTAGGTTGGAAGTTCTTTTCTTTAAGGATGTTTAATATTGGCCCCTATTCTCTTATGGCCTGTAGGGTTTCTGTGGAAAGATATGCTCTGAGTCTAATGGGCTTCCCTTTGTGGGTAAGCCCATCAGAACTTTCCCTCTGGCTGCCCTTAGCATTTTTTTCTTCATTTCAACCCTGGTGTATCTTACAATTATGTGCCTTGGGGTGGCTCTTCTTGAAGAATATCTTTGTGGTGTTCTCTGCATTTACTGGACTTGAATGTTTGCCTTCCTAGCTAGGTTGGGGAAATTCTCCTGGATTATATCCTGAGCAGTGATTTCCAGCTTGGATTCATTCTCTTGTCACATTCTGGTACACCTATCAAATATAAATTTGGTCCTTTCGTATAATCTCATATTTCTCAGAGGCTTTGATTTTTTCTTTTCATTCTTTTTTATCTAGTCTTACCTTCTCATTTCGTTTCATTGAGTTCATCTTCAATCTCTGATATCCTTTCTTCTCCTTGGTTGATTCAGCTATTGAAATTTGTGTATGCTTCAAGAAGTTCTCTTGTGTTTTTCAGTTCCTTTAAGTCATTTGTATATTGTTCTCTAAGCTGTTTATTCTCATTAGCATTTTGTCTAGTCTTTTTTCAATGTTCTTAGTTACTTTGTATTGGGTTAGAACACGTTCTTTTAACTCAGAGAAGTTTGTTATTACCTACCTTCTGAAGCCTGTTTCTGTCAATTGATCAGACTCATTCTCCATCCAGCTTTGTTCCCTTTGTGGTGAGGCATTGTGATCCCTAGGAAGAGGAGAGGTGTTCTGGTTTTTGGTGCTTTCATGCTTTTTGTACTTATTTCTTCCCATCTTTGTGGATTTATTTACCTGTGGTCTTTGTAGTTGGTGACTTTCAGATGGGGTCTATGAGTTGGTGTTTTTATTTTGTTGTTGATGTTGAAGCTATGTCTTTCTGTTTTTTAGTTGTCATTCTAACAGGCCCCTCTGCTGCAAGACTGCTAGAGGTCCACTCCATACCCTGCTTGCCACTCCAGACTCATGGGGGCTGCAGAACAGTAAGGCTTGCTGCCACTTTCTTCTTCTCTTATCTTTGTACCAGAAGGGTACCCACCAGATATCAGCCTGAGCTATCGTTTATTAGGTGACTCCTTGGATATCCAGGGGTTGGGGCACTGCTTGAGGAGACAGTCTGTCTGTTATAGGATCTCAAGTTCTGTGCTGGAAGCTCTGTTGTTCCATTCAGAGGTGCTGGGAAGGTATGCTTAAGTCTGCTGCAGTGGAACTCATAACTGCATCTTTTTCCTGGATCTCTGACCTGGGAACATAGGGCTTTATTTATACATTTCTGATGTGCTGCTGCCTTTTTTCAGAGATGCCTTGCCCAGCAAGGAAGTAGCCTAGTCACAGTCTGCCAGCAGAGGCATTGCTAAGCTGCTACAGGCTCTGCCCAGCTGCTGTGTAAACTTCCTTGCAGTTTTGTTTACAGAGGTACAGTTAGAACTCCCTCTTAATGGTGGACTGCCTCAGTAATGGTGGAGTGCCTCAGTAATAGCTGATGCCCTTTCCCCCACCGAGCTGGACCTTCCTGGGTCCAGCTTCATTTGCTGCCTAACTGGCAATCTTGAGCATTTCAGATTGCTGGTCTTTGTGGGGGTGGGACTTGCCAAGCCAGATCACCTGGCCCCCTGTTTTCAGCCTCCTCTTTTTCAGTTGAATGGGTGGCTCTGTCTCCCAGCCATTCCAGGTGCCAGTTGAAACTGCCTCCTAGATTTGTGTGAGTTTTTCTGCAGGAACCTGTGACACTGGGTGAAACAGCTGTGCTGGAAACAAGTGGCACTTTTTGTCCTGGAAATCTCCTGTTCTGTGGCTAGTAAAAACTTGTCTGGAAATGCAGTGATCACTCACCCTCTGCATTGTTCTCGATGAGTACTGTACTCCAGAGATGTTCTTATTCCACTATCTTGGATCTCCCTATCTGTACTTTAAAAACTTCTTTTCAGTGTATGTTTCCCTACATTTGTGCTGTAATGTCATATTTACTAAGTATATTGGAAATATATTGCTTTGATTCTTTTCATATTAATGAATTAAACTTTAGGCAGGACTTAATTAGGTGTGCATTTTTTTCAACCTCTAGGTTGTATTTTGATGAACTTAGATATTCAATTAACAAGAGAATGATTTGCATAAACCATATTTATACTCTATGGGCTATTGCAGAATTACTTGGTAGTTTCTCTACAATATGAATAGTTCCATTTTCTGTTGTATGAGGGGGAAATGAAGTTGTATAATTGGAAAGTGATAAGATACTTAATTGCTTATTAGCTTAGGGTAGTTATCTGCATGTTATATTATGTGCTGAATTGTAATTGAAAGTATTGTGTTGTAATATTTAGGAGAAGTGGCAAACAAAAATAGTTAAATTGTAATAGTAAACTTGACTTGCAATGAAGATGAACACATTTACTGAAAGACATTTCTGTAACTTGCAAACAGTGTGTTCCATTTTGGTAACTATTCTTTTTCTCTTGTTTCTTTTTCATTTTTATTTATTTATTTATTTTATAATTCACTGCTTGCCATTGCAGGAAGTAGAGGTTTGTATACATCTTCTGTGTTTCATATTTTATTTTAAATTTTTTATGTACCCTTGCATTTTAATTACTCATATACACTCAATTCACATTATTTTCCCTTTTAGGATGATTATTTCCGTACTTGGAGTCCAGGAAAACCCTTCAATCAGGGTAAGAATCTAAATATTTTAAAATAAAAATCTTTTCCCGTTCATAATCTTGGTACTTTTAGAAATGATATTTATTGTCTAGTTAAACTTGAAAACACTAGATGGAAGAACTTACAGGAATGGGAAAATTTATGCAAAAAATGTCTTCCATTTCAGCATACTTTTAGACATAAGCTAATTGGTTACGATTATGTCAGCATGTCTTTTATTTTTAGATACATGTTTTAGATTACTCTTTTGGGCTTCTGAACTTTACCGTGTTTATTTTTATCAGTAGATATAAGTTACTTCATCCAGTTATCAAGCACATTCACTGGGCAATATATTTAATGTGCACACTTTTAAAACAAATGGCTTTTTGGCCTCTTTTCCAATTAATAAAAGGTTTCATTTAAAATGAGTAAATTGGTAATTAGACTCAGCTGGCAAGACCAAAAAGGAAAAGTGTTATACAAAATTAGGGCTTCCCCACCTCTTCAAACAGCTTGCAGTTCTGATTAACTTACCTTTAAGAGGAAAACAGAAATATGGATGAGAATGAAAATACTTATACATGTGCAATGAGAATGGACACCTCAAACACCCAGCAATCATAGTCACATAAATGACTAAAGAAATTTGTTCACTAAATTTCACATTTAAAAATAACTTACTTGTAAAGTTTCTTTATGTTACTTTCTATAGTCTGTGCGAAGTAGAAAAAATTCTTCTTTATATAGACTTCATAGTATCTGTGCAAAAGATAATATTCTCTGAAGTAGGCTGACTTAAAGATAGAAGTCTTTGTAAGAGTGCTTATGTAAGTGATTGGTTGAAGAAGAACTAATATGTTATTTAAAGGAGCTTAAAGTATTTTACTCTACTACCAGATTTTTACTTCATGTTTGGGATAAATGCTACAACAACTAACCTGTATGAGTGAGAAACAACCTGTGTGGACCTAGACATAGACTGTCATCAACATTGGTATTAACATGGAGTCTGAACAGTCATTCACATCTAGTATCTTCTTAGAATTAGCTTTTTTCCTGTATATATTTTATACAATTTCACTATTGCTATCCAGAGTGTTTTTGGTATCTGCTTGCTTGCTTTCTTTTCCTTCCTTCCTTTTCTCTTTCCTTCCTTCCTTCCTTCCTTCCTTTCTTTCTTTTCTTTTCTTTTGTTTTCTTTTGTTTTCTTTTCTTTTCTTTTCTTTTCTTTTCTTTTCTTTTCTTTTCTTTTCTTTTCTTTCTTGAGATGGAGTCTTGTCACCAGGCTGGAGTGCAATGGTGCAATTTCAGCTCACTGCAACCTCCACCTTCTGGGTTTAAGTGATTCTCCTGCCTCAGCCTCCTGAGTAGTTTGGATTACAGGCACATACCACCATGCCTGGCTAATTTTTTTGTGTTTTTAGTAGAGACAGGGTTTCACTATGTTGGCCAGACTAGTCTTGAACTCCTGACCTTCCTGAGGTGTGATATTCCCACCTCAGCCTCCCAAACTGCTGGGATTACAGATGTGAGCAACCACACCCAGCTAGGATCTGTATTTTAAAATTCTAAAAGAATTAATTCTTAATTAGTCACTAGTACGTCAAGCCAGGGCTCTAAAACGCAGGCAATAAAACAAATAATGACATGCAGACAGAGATGTTTTTTGCTGGCATTCTTGGGAAATGAATTTTTATGATGGAATCATAAACCTTGAAAAATGGGTGTTATCTATGAAATTTGTCATACTTGGTGCCTCCAGTTATAATAAAGATGCTTTCATTTTTCCTTTGTGTGTGCATGACAATGTATTGAATTTTGGTTTATCTCTCTTTAAAAGAGAATACTATATGAGAGTCTTCCAAACAATTAATGATACAGGATTGACTTGCTTTAATTTTCAGAGAGATTTTTAACCTACTAACTAAAAAAATATTATATTTGTCAGCCAGGGATAAGCTTATGACATGATATCTAATATTTACGAAGAATGTCCTATTTTGAGTCACTACTGCAGGTGTTGATACATAGTAATTAATTTAATCATTATAGCTCTGCAAGGTAGATTAGAAAGTTAAGATATTGAAAGAAGTTAAGCTTCTGCTCAGGTTATAGTCCCACAGTATGGCAGTGTAGGGATTTCGATTCAGTCAGTGTGAACCCCCAAACCTGTTTCCTAGTTGCTCTGCAATATTACCACACCTATGATAACACTAACAAGAAATAATGGCATACTAATGATATTTTGAAGTTTATGCTTTAAAAATGTACATTTACTGGAACAAACATTAGAAATGAAGTGTGCTTTATTCCTGTATGTTAAAATAATATTTTGTAGACTATCAGACATGGAGTTTTGAGTTTTTGAACATGTATAGTTAATAAACATGTAAGAAAGTTTTGTATCAAAAAAATAAAAATAGAACAAAAATTAGATGGAGGTGTGTATTTGTTTTTGGCTTTGTGTCAAATTAATGAACCCAGTTTTAGATCACAGTGAGGAGTGAGCAAAATAATCCTATTTCCGTCTAGCTCTGAGTAAGAAAATGTGTATCAACTAGACAGAAAAGACTTGAGACATGTCCACTTCTAGCTTCCTGTTTTTTCTGATGACAGACCCTTCTTCCAGTAACATTTTCAAAAGCTGAACGGTGTGTTGAACATAAAATCATTTAAAAGGCTTTTCAAGAGTGTTTATAATTTTTAATTTACCATGTTTTTCACTGAATTATGGACATCCTTATTATATCAATATGTTTTTTTTTGTCCTATTTCCTTGTAAGAGGTTTGCATGTTTCCTTAAAAAAGTGAAGAAAAAGTTACTTTGTCAGTATATCTTTATAGTGGTATTTATAATTTTAAAAGGATTCATATATCCATTTAAGGTTATCTTTAACTTCCATTTCTATAGAATGCACCATAAAGCATGCTGAAATTAAAGTACCACTAATGACAATATTAATTAATATTTTATAATATGAAGGGTATAACTATTCAGCACAAAATTCCTTTTTATACATATGGATACATATGCACACAATTACAATACATACATAAACATGTAGATTACAACATGTTTACACACAGACAGACACATGTGCACTTGCAAAGTTGCTTCTAGGTAAAATCAACTGATTGTTCATATGCATCTGATCTACCTTTTGGTTTAACTGTGACATATTTTTCATCTCATTTGTTTCTTTTAAGCAATGATTTTTCCAGTATGTTAATTTTTTTAGCCACTAAAACAGTAAGAGTTTTGGGGAAATAAAATGTTTTCAAATAAGCTTAAGTAAATATTCTATTTTGATGGTGATAAATCTGCTGCAAAATGGAGTAAATCATGCCAATTCTGACAATCAGTTGGTCTGGAAATCTCCACACCGATTGTCCTGAGCTATTATTTCTCTTCATTAGTGCGGCTAATCATGAGTTAACATGACAGACATTACCTGAGAAATGGTTTTGATGAGGAAAGACATCTTCAATAAGGTGTAAAAATACACACACCTTACTATATTTACTATGCTAAATAAACTCAAGGGAAATGTCTCTAGGCATATGAACCTAGGTAATACATGATAAAGCTTTTCAATGATTTAATCAATGCTTTAGATAAATATGCTATAACTTTCAAAATAAATATACACATCTTTCCATTCACTCTTAGGTCTGCCTTGTTTATGAACATGTTTTAATATTGGTGTGTAGCAGATACATGAGTGAGATTTCTAGCAGTGAATCCTTATCATCATTCACAGAATCTGTTTGAACCAAGGTGCCCTATCTACAAGGATCACTTTTTATTTAAACATTATTTTCCCCAGTATATGATAAATATCATAAAACTCCAGGTGTCCTGAGGTGAAAGATTTAGAAGAAAAATATGCTTTCTGTGTTTTCATAACTTCACTATCCAAAGGAGCTTTGGGTTGCTCTACTTGGCATCTACCATAGCAGTAAATTAAATAAGAACAAATCCGTTGCATTTTTTGATGTGTTTCTTCTGCTCCTGAACAATTTTGGGGATCTGGAATTAGGAGCAAGGAGTAGCTGTGGCTTAGATCAGCACCCTTCTGTCTTTTCTCAGCAGTTTTGTTATATCAGAGTGAGTTCAAAAGAATGTGCCACACACTAAGTTCCAAATTATGAGTCCTTTTAATTGGCTGGTGACCAAGAGATGGCTAATGATCAAAGTTCTCTCAGCCTCAAGGAAGGGGCTTGATTATCTTTTATACCTTATTTTAAGTAGGGGAGGGAGGACCTAACTGAAGCAGAATTTTACAGAAGCAGAAAAGCAGGTTAGAGGAAGGGGCTGTGGGCACAGGTGGTTTCCATACAATTCAATGATCAAAGGAAATGGGCGTGATCAGGCTCTACTCACACAATGATCAAAGGGAAACATTTTTCTTATAATAGCAGGGGGAGGTATGCCAAGCAAGCAAAAGGATGCAGTACAATGGTTACAAGTATTAAGAACAGTATGCTTCAATGCTTCTAAGTGCAGCATGACCCAGTTATGCACCCAAAGGGGCTGTGGTCAGGAGGGGGAAGCCGGTTGGAATTCACTGCTAAGATGGAGTCAGTGATGTTAGCTCACGGTAAGTTATTACATTCCCCACTTGTGTTATGGGGGAGTGAAAGCATTTACTCCTCAGTTATAACAAGGGGGTTATAGGGGATCCTGAGATACATGAGTTTAAGAGAATTTATGCGCTGCCTTATAAAAGTAAGGAGCCAGTTTAATAGGCAGGGTCCAAAGATTAAGCCTAACAGGAGAAGGAGAAGAGGTCCCCTAGCCCAATTTCTAAGGTAATTAACCATGGGCTCCAGTGAAACATGTTTTGGAACCATGTGGCATTCTTATTTCATTCTCATTGGCGTCTATCTAAGTTTTCCTGGAGCTTTTGGAGGGTGTCTTTTATGACTTCAGAGTTATTAGCATAAAAAAAACAGCTTTCTCCCAATGCTGCACATAAACCTCCTTGGGAGAGGCATACTAAATCTAAGCCTCGGTGATTTTGGAGAA